CTGATTCACTAAAACGTGCTGTAAAGAGCTCGGAGACGTCTCATTTTCTTCAGAAATGTTTGCTCTACACAATGGAGCTTTTGCAATGAATTTTTAGATTGAACTCTGGGTGTTGGTTTTCTGAGATTTTGATTTTCGGAGACCCTGGTTTAAAGAGTTATGATAGAACCCTTTTAAACAGCACAGCAAATTCCGAATTCTATCAGCTGTTCATCTTTTTTCAGATTTGTTCTAGCTTGTATGGTCCACGAGAAAAATCAAAAATAAAGGTGGCGAGTAAGGCTGCGACAGTTACCAGTTACCGTTACCAGCGTTCTCCGTTACTAGAGGTAACTGTAACTGATATAAAATTAATAAGCATCGGCGCTCGTTACTGGAGGGTAAAGGGTTTCTTACTGTATGTCAATTACCATTACCTCTACTATAGAGGAACGATATTATTAGTTATTATTAGTTTTATGTCAATTATAGTTACCGTTAGTAACGGGGAACGATGGTAACGGTAACTGGTAACTGTCACAGCCCTAGTGGCGAGCACTTTTTGGAGCCATTCGAGGTTAAAGCTGCGCAGTATTTAATACCTAAACACGGCTGTCAGGCTTCGTTAAGTTTCCTATTAACATATCTTGCAGAGACTTGCAAGGCGCACCGAATGATGTATGAATGATTAGAGATCCTCTTTAGTTTCATACAGAAAAGTGACCGACAGTTCGAGTAGCATAGCGGCGACCTATGAAAAAATCTAGTATTTGATTCATCACGGCCGCTGCCAAGCTTCGTTAAGTGTCCTATTAACAGATATTGTAGAGCTTTCCAAGACACACCGAATGATAGTCGAAAACCTACAGAAAAAACTCATCCCGATTCAAAAAAATGCGAAACAAGGGGTCGTTTTTTCATACATTCAATACATCGTTGTACAACATAAATAAAAACAATATCTCTTTGAAAGCCTACATGCCAGTGTGAAAATCAAAAAGAAAATGTATGTTCAACAGGCTAAACACTGATGTACAGAGAGAAAGACAGACGGGGAAAGCCTAATTTTCTTTTCAATTCAATCGTCATCTATATCATCACTTTCAATTTGAATTTTAGATTTTTTTATTGTTACAAATAGCTGTTCATTTTCATCTAGTGGTTTTCGTTTTGACGCAGGTGTATCAACACAGTTGATTCAACTGTCTCGTTTTTCTCCATTTCCTTCAATGTCCACAAATTCTTTTGGAGAAACATTAGTTTATTAATTTTTTCTGCACCTAAACTGGTACGACGATCAGAGACAGTGTTTTGGGTAGACGAGAACGGTCGTTCTACTTCTGTATTTGATGCAGGAATAGCGAGAATTTCTCGAGCAATAGATGATATCATTGGATATGCTTGTTGATGTTTCCTCCAATAGTCTAAAAAATCTTCCCTTCCTTCTTCATTAATAGTTGTGGTTGAGTTCATGTATTCGGCTGTTTGTATTTTAGCGAAACAAAATTTCGGGATTTAACGGGATTGTAATTATGCCTACGGGACGAGATCGGGATTGGGATTGGCGAAAAGAATTTTTCGGGATCGGGACCGGGTTTCAATCCTACGGGACGGGATTGGGATCGGGACGAAAAGCTCAATCCCGCAGGGCTCTACATAAAAGGCTGAGTGCTATACAGTTCAAATTTTATTGTTTCGAAATGTATATAAATAACACTGTTCAAAGTAATTTTGCCTTACTCTTCAAAAAATTATCATGGATTTTATAAGAAAGCCAACTCAAAAGGAGCGCTTCTGCCATAGTGTTCAAAGAAAATCTTTTCCGACATCAACATCGGAAATACTAATTACCGCTTAAGATAATCTCGACTGCTTCTACCTCATGTTTAATTTGACTTTTATTTGGAATATAGAAATGAGAGATTCCATGTTTATAAAGAACGCAATTTCTTGCCAAAATATTCGTTTCTCAAAAGAGATATTTCTTAATCGATTAAAAGAGATACATTGTAAAATATGGATTTGTACCTCTTCTGAGAAGCTTCGAATTTGCTATCTGTAACTTCTGTAATAAAAAACATGAACTGTATAGTCTTTCATGTACAGTTTTATTTATGCTTTAAAAAAAATGATCTTACTATTCCTGAAGCTCTCATAACATTTCTACTAGATCACTACTCTCTCTAAAACTTGATTATTTTTAACGAATACTACAGAGTTTATCAAGCATATCCGATCTTATAACAGAAATACCGTGTGACAATAACCAACGTTTCTGGTTTTTTTAATCTGGTTGTTTTTCATCCATGCTTGAAATGAAGAAAATGTTTACTAAGTCACAACTGAGATGGCGATCTTGATGAAAACAGAAAACTTGTCATACTCTTTGCAATGTGCATATTTTCAATTTCTTTTATGCGACTCAATTCCATTTTTCGTACATATTACTTCTCAAGTGCATAATTAAGTTTAAATTTTTAGTTTCACAGTATAATAGTTATACTTATTCAGAGTTATTGTATGTATTATATATATTAAAATTAAATTTTTTATCCATCAGCATAGAATACAGCAAGATTAGAAAAGAGCAGAAATGTGCAATGAAATCATATTTACACCGTTCATATTACTCAAATTATCGTTTTTTATTTTGTTTAATAACATAGTGTGCGTTTCCACGAAAGAATGAAAAAGAATTCTTTTCTTTTTTGTTTTTTTTCTTTGAGAAAAAAAGAACGCTATGAACGACTTGGTTACCTATTCTGATTTTCAAGATATGTAACTTTTTTTAAACGTCATTTAGTGTTCGTTTCAGAAAAAAATATACTCTTTTATTAAAAATTATAACTATTTCTTCCAGTAAACAGAATACATTATCTTGATTATTATTATGGCGCAACAAAACGATAGTTCAGATAATAAACAAGCTGTAACACCAGAAACATTGGCAACCGCCATTAAACTAGCCGCGCTTAGTAAACAACATGAACAAAAAGTGACACCGGAAATACTGGCAGCTGCTCTCAAACTTGCCGCAAAACCGTCAACCGAGGATCATTCTAAATCAGCAGTAAATAATCAAGAGAAAGAGAGTGATCAGCATGTTACTCCTGAATCATTAGCAACAGCAATGAAATTCGCTTCAAAAGTTTCAACATCACCGAGTAATGATCAAGAAAATGCGGAAATAACAGGCGCACTTGCAGCAGCTTTAAGAGCTACAACAAAATTTACCGGTGAAGAACAGGAATCAATTACACCGGAGACCTTGGCGTCAGCTATTAAATTTGCAGCAAAATTAAAAGAGTCGGAATAGATTAAAATCAATTTTGATAAGGATAAACTTGACAACGAACCTTTCTTCAATAATATATTAGTTTTCTAATCTTCTTATGGTCGAATATAAGACATACAGCTTTTCTATTCTGTGTATGTATTATCGTCATCTCTTAAACTGCTGCTTTTCGTTTCATTTTTTTGAATACTGTATCTCATATCATATATCTCTTATTTATCGTGAAATCTCTTATTACCACACGTGTCGCGATTCTATATTCTCTACTCTCGTATATTTGTGACTCATGGAGTATACAACTTTTTGTAATAGTATGATAGATAACCGAGTAGAACGTTCAATGTATAAACTATACATAATGAGCATCTAGAGGCGGCGAACATATATTCACACATTGCATGGGGGATAAATTAAATTCTCATATGTTTACTCACTAATTATAAATACTTAGAAAACATTGCTTTTCACTCCGAGCGTTGCCTAGCAAAAATATTCTTTCTTTTCTTCAAGACTCTTCTTTCTCGTTTGAGTTAGCCACTCGTTATCGGTTATCTCTCTGATCGTACAGATTTCGGGAAAAGATGATTCGAAAGTAGGGAAGTCGTAGTGACACATCTGAAATTAGTTTTCGGATATTTGCTTTAGTTATCCTATAATTAGTGTCACAAAATGAGTATATTTTTAAGACAACTTTACCGTTTTTTCCTATGAGATAATTAATCATCGTGATTCGTTTCATAGTGAATATGTACTATAGTGCTGGATATGATGAAAACTATACTATAGTAGAATATATGACACGATAATAAATCAGCTGATATAGCAATGTACATTCTTCTTGAAAAATAGTCTAACTGTTATGAGTTTCTGGATCTTCTAATTTCATCTGTTTACCGTTTCACTCAGTCGACTTTCTAATCTTCCCGAAGAGTAGTTGACTCTCTAGTTTGTTCTTTGTTTTTATTTTTTAAAATGAAATTGCACACATTATCTTGATGTAAACTAGAGAGTCAACTGCTCCGCGGGAAGATTGAAAAGTCGACTGAGTGGAATGGTAAACAGACGAAATTAGAAGATCCCAAAACTCATAACTGTCTACGTATCTTCTACGGCATATTATTGACATTGATATATCAGTTGATTCATTTATCGTGTGATATATTATACTATAGCTTTTATCGTATCAAGCGCTATAGTAGTAGAGATAGTATAGAACATATACACTGTCAGGTATCACGTAGCGATTAATTATCTCATACAGAAAGCGGCAAAGTTCTTCAAAAAGATATGCTCATCTTCCAGGACTAATTATAGGTGAACTAAAGTATACATAGAAAAATTAACTTCAGATGTGTCATCGACAAGTGTTGTACATTCGACTGGTCGTTTTCCTGAATCTATACGATCAGCTATAATCTAGAACGAGTAACTCAGCTAACTCGAACGAGAAAAACGGTATGGGAAGAAAGAAAGGAAGAAGAATTTTCCTAGGCAATCCGGCAGTGAATAGCAATAATAGAGCCAATTCAATGAGAGATATGCGTCTGTCTGAAGGTGGATCTTTACATTAAATCAAACGGTTCAACATTGCTGGAAAATTGTGCCATGAGCACAACATATATAACCATCGATAGGATGGTTCATAATTGCATTCACTCTTTGGAGTTCAAGAATCGTATTTTGAATAATTCAAACTTTCACCTATTCTCTCATAACACCAATGGGAACAAAGTTATACAATAATTTGAACCAAATCGTTTCCATTCGAGTCTTGGAATTTATTCGATATTGATTTTGTTGAGTGACACGAACGTAGACAAATTTTTTATTGGATAAAACAGTAGAACATACTGACATAAACCATCACCTGCTCATACTTAAAATCTACTAATAGAAATCTAGCTCGGCGACCACATGTTGGATCTTGACAAAATCTTCAGTGAATGGAACACTGGTGACAGATTTTTTTGAATTCAGTCTTTATCCATTCGCGAGATGTAGCCAAAACAGTAGTCAAAAATGTTTGGGAATACTTCATATTTCCCAACATCTTTCATCCAGGTAGATGCTAAAGGGCTCGACTTAGTTTCAAAAGGAAGCTAAAGATTAACAGTATCTCATTTTCATTGAATATCTGCGTTACTCATTTTCGGCAGTCATCAGAAGCTAAATTCTGTCAAATCCTTCTCGTTGATGAAGACTACAGAAAAATTCAAACCTCGGGCTTTATCAACCACTAACCGAATGTGTCAGCTTCTTGATGAAACCAACTTAGGCTCTCCATTCTCTATCTGAACCGAGACTTTGGGATATACAAACAGCTCTAACGGATAAAAATGATTTGGAAGTATCGTGGTGCTAGTGTATGGTATATTGTATAGCTTTTAGTAAAATTGTGGTAACTTTTGATCAAACCATCGCTCAAAGTCAGCAGATGGCAAAATTTAATCAGAAACGTTTGGAATACAAACTAGCATCACTGGAATCCTTTTTGATTCTGACATGGAAAATCTCTATTTCTGACAGTGAGGCCTTCAATCAAACTTGTTCAATTTTTATTTTGATTCTCTAACAAAAAAAAATGAAACAAAATATTTCTAAGAAAGACATATATATATATATATAACAAAATACAACAAAAAAAGAAAAATGATCGAAATCAAATGAAACAAAAGAAAAATAAAAGAAAAGAAGAGAATTTTGTTTTGTCAGATATACAACTATCTTACAGTCTTTTCTACTGACTAATCTACTAATACTATTTACTTTTCATGACTCAACTGAATTGTTCAGTATTTTGACTAGAATCAAAATCATTCGTTTCATCATTTTCTCTAATTAAAAAAATAGCAAACAACACTAATACACACATACATGCTAACAGAAATACTAGTATAATTGATGTACATCGAGTTCAGAAAAAAAATAACAAAAATTATCTCAATAAAAGCTACGGGCTATTGACTCTTCGATACAAAATTTTACCGAATATCTTATGCTAAACTAGCTCATACATATTTCCTGTTTTACAGAAGCAAAATTGCTTAGTAAATTGTTATAGATATATTTAGATCACATATAACTGGGAACATATAGAAGTTTTATGTTACTTTAACATAAAAAATAAACAAATCTTCGAAAAATGGTCAAAATATACACCAAATACTCAACAAGTTTATCATTCTAAATTAAATCCTTTATAATCAACACTTGTTTAGAATAAATTATTAATTATAAATTTTTTTTTCGTTTTGATGCTTTTTTTGCTTGTTTATCATTTGTGGTTAAAGATTTTTTTGATTTTGTTTTATGTTGAGGAATAGTATCTTGGATGTTATTATTGTTATCCATATCGAATTGATTTTCATCGTCACTAACAGGTCCCGTAGGTACCCATACAATATCTTCTTGCCAAACAATTGATGAATGATTATTTTCATTGTTACCATCGCAATCATCATCACTAAAACACGATAAATAAAACAAATATAGTACAAGATTTTTAGAGATGCTTTTAAAACATACTTACCAAAGTACTCTCAATGGTTCTAAAGACATAATATCAATTGTTTTCTCGTTTTCATCCTCCAACTGTCTCGTTATCATTCCTCTTTCTTGTTGTTTTGTTTTTGTTGTTAATGGTAAAGGTACCATCAATGATGGCTTTGCATCTGTTACAAATGTCGATGTTTTTAAATCTTCATCGTTTAAATCAAATTCATCTTCTCGTTCATTGTAAACAATATTTTCATCAATTTCATGAAAATGTGGAGGAAATGCTTCAAATTCTGGTCTCGAGAACGTATACAATATACCTAAACAAAAAAATAATAAATTAGAGAAAAACAAATAACTATACCATTTACCATCTGATATTGATACAATCATTGGTCGAAATGGATGCCAAACAACATCGGCCATGCATTTACCACGATCATCTTCAAGCATTTTGACTAGACTACCTGTCAATGCTTCCCAAACAAATAAATGATGTTGACGAACACTTGCCGCACAAATATATTCACCTAAAAATAATCAAAAGATATCATTTCGTTCAACTATTAAAAACTTAACAAATTCCATCATCCTCAACGAAATTTTTTTCAAACTAAGAGAGATTTCAAGCAAAGACGTACATTTCTCTTGTCCATAGCGGCAACAACAGTTTCCACCTACCATCTCCTGACCAACAACATCTCATCCATCTGGATTTATTCACTGAATCATGCAAAATTTGTTTTGATTCAAAGATCATTTCATTTAGAATATTATTTTCTTCGCCTCCATTGATAAGATTTGTCCAAGAATAAATTCGAATTTTATCCATTGTTAATATTGCCACACATTTACTTCGTTTTGATACTGATATTTGTCGTATGCCACATGTCTTTGTTGCTTCACTTATTCGTCCATTTCTCACTAATTTCACGTCGTCGTTTTGTTTATTAATTTCAAATATTAACAATTTTCCACGTGCATTTCCAGTAAGAATATGAGAACCACTTGAATTAAATGTTGATATCCAACCGAGTGTATGATCATATTCTGACGATGTACAGATACGTTTATCAACTAATTGACAATAAAATGATTTTTCAGAATAATTAGGACTCGTTTGAAAGGCTAGAAGACAAAAGAGATTTAAAAAAAAAATCCATAAAACATGAGATTTTAAACAGTAAATTTTTCACCTGTATATTTTTGTCTATTCAATAAGATTGAATAATTATTTAGAAAACTAATTAGAATAAAATCAGAATTTTGTGGATGAAATTCTACTTGTATAGATAAAGTTTGTGTAATCAGTTTAAATAAACAATAACCACTAATAGTTGACCAACAACAGATTGATGAATCACTTGAACATGATAAAATAAAATCTGACTTTTTTGACCATGATAATGAATAAATTGTATAAGAATGTGCATAAATCGATTTTGATATCGTTTTTGCCACAAAATCCCATATGTACAAATTACCATCAAGACATCCAACAGCTAATAAAGTACCCAAACGATTGAATGAACAGACCAATGCATGAGATTTACAATCGAGACATGAATCTAACATTTGTGGATAAGCATATTGAACCGGTTCGAGATGTTCTAAATTCATTTTTGATTATAATCTAAAACTCAAGATATAGGACATTCTTAAAAACCGTTAGAATTACATAGTAAAGATATTTAATCTAAATTAAAAATAATTCGCAAAAAATATATATAAACAGAATTATTCTCCTCACCAATCTTCTCATTCATTTTTCAATGCAGAAACGAGTCACATAATGTGCAGTATTTTTTGAAAGTTATCACTGTATTAAAGATTGTCTCCAGATAAGATTCTGTAATGAGAGATGGTGGATTTTCAGTTGCTGTTAGATCATATATTTTTATACTTTCTTTTTACATAAAGTGTAAAACTGAATGATCTATTGACGATTGAAAATCAGTAGTATTCCTATGCATTCATACTACTTGTTTCATACGTTTTACTTAATATGTATACAACAATTTCATTAAAAACTAATGTTCCAATAGGCATGTACAAGATTTTTCTGATTTAATTTATATTGTTAAAAATTTATAGTTTCTCGACCCAATAAATGATCTCAACTGACGAGTGATAAACACAACGTTTGCACAAATAATATTATTTACAAATTGTTTAACATATCGAAAAGTTAACGTTAGTGAATAGTTTATACACTATGCTGTATGGTAATCAAGCAATGCTGATTCATAGAATGTCCATTGTGATATTTAAACTCAATCGTTAGCTCTGAACTCACAATAACTATATTGTTCTCGCTTTTATTGTAAAATCACTTCGAAATACTTAAAAAAAATCTACTGTTCTCTTTTATCTACATTGGCCTTTATTTTATTAATACTACAAAAATTATCCGTTTACAAGACATACAAAATACATGTACTTTGCTGGTACACAATCAGAAATGAAGAAAAATATATAATCTCAAATAGAATACAAAAGTATCTGACAAAGAAAATATGGCAAAAAAATTAAATTTATCATAAAAATCTGCAATAGATGGGAAAAGACGTCAAACAGTAATAATATTTAAGTTAACAATCTATAAAAAAAAAACTTTTAAAAAGACAAATTAGTTCATTTATAGATGGCCGAAAGTGATCGGTTTACAAATTACAATTTAATTTGATAATTTTCGTTGTTTTGTATTTTTATATTTCATAATCAATTTAATAATAAAGTTACCAAAAGTTTAATACCATACTGTAAACAATTTTGATAATTTTTTCTGGTGTACGTTAAAATCATGATCACATAAGACAATAAATATTTCATCATGTCATCATTTAGTTCGGTTTAAATATGACCACCCTGTGAAACAATTCAATTGACTAAACTGAACAGAGATCAAGATTAGTTGATAACCGGAACATTTTGACAAGAATGAATCATTTAAAAATAGTTTAGAAAATTTAGTGCCGATTGATAAACGAGAATGTTGTAGACTAAAATAATGACCACCTAGTGCTTGATCATCTAAAATAGACAAAAGTAACATTATAACGTTACATTAAAAGATCATCGATTTACCAAATTGCTCAGAAAAACCGTCCAAATGGTAGACTAAATTGCAAATAGCTGGTTATTCATCTTAAACGAATATTAAGGGACCCTCTGTCAGAACTATATTTCGAAAAACTACAAGTCTGATCTGGACCAAACTTTCACCGATTGTTGATCATATCTAAGTATTGATAAAATAGTAACAGCAGCTGTTTTTAGATTTATGTTTATTTAATAAAAATTAAAATTAAAATTTTTTTATAAAAATAAAGTCGACGTTTCGAAAATTGTAATTTTCATTATCAAGACAATAGAGACGATTAACAGGATATAAAGTTAAAACAAATATGACTGAATAACTATACAAAGGGTAACATCGTCTTGTTTATTTGTCAGGGGTAAAATCATCGTCTTGTTTATTTGTTATAGGCCGTTTATTGGCAAATCGAGAAGAACGTCTTAAATTAGACTCATCTTGATAAGATAAAAAACGATTTTTAACATTTTTAGACTTTCTTTGAGAAGCATTTAGAGTTGTTATTTGAGAACACATAGTAGAAGATAACTTAGAAACGGAAATAATGTCAGTAGTATTATTGACAGATGCATCATTTGATGCATCTGATGACTCAAGTGATGAATCGTTTTGACAGTACAGAGCCGGGTTTTGGTTTCTATCTTAAAGTAAATAGTTATATTCTCATAATCTCTAGAAGTAATTTTCAGCATCCTCAATAATTATAGATCTAAATGAATAAAAACCGATATACGTACTTTTTGTTCTGCAATCAAACATGCAATTTCAATGTAAAATTTAGGTGGATAACAGAATTTCTTGGCAATAGTATCATTGAACTAAAGTAAGAAATCATTTGAATGGATCATTTAGTTGAATAGACGCGTTTACGGCAAGAGTACTGCTGCCAACTACTTGAAAGATCAATTTGAAAAATCATTTTTACCCATGGATGACTACTAATTTTAGTTTTTTTGAGATTTCTACACAACATTTTTGAGAAAGAAATTTGTTATTGGACCGACGTGACATATCAATCTAAAAAAAATAGGTATAACAAAATCATAATATTTGATCAAGATATACACAATATATTAACGTACTAATACGTAAAAAGAAATTATTAAAAGTCTTCTTCAGCACATAAAGCAAACACAATAACTTATCAGTACATAACGTTGACATCATCAATCAGATGAAGAAATTCATTTTTTTTGTTCATCTTTTATGTTATTGTGTTAGAAATGAAAAATCCATAATAAATGCAAGAAATGATTAGGATAGTTTTTGATGTTCTTCTGCTGGATTCGATCATCCGACCTTCATACGTTACACTTCTCCAACTATGCATTTTTCCCATTGCACTAAATTGTGCAAAAGAAAACTACGGGTTATGATGATACATTTGTATGAAGGCCGTAGACTTCTACATATTTAAATAGTCTTTAGAAGTAATCAATCACTCACATATTACTTGCTATACTATATATAAAAATCGGAAGAATGTCAAAAATTATTCTAATAAAACATCTCTCCTATAAACACCATTTCTCTACAAGAAATGATAATAGTCTTATGCAAATAATTGATCATTTTTAGAAGAATTCAGGTAAGCCATTGCTTCACACAATTCAAATTTAATCGATCAGACAACATAAGATACAATGATAATGATGATCACTGTTCTAGATAAATTTTATATTAGCTTGCATTGTGTACTCTGATAATATTGAAAGAATATTTGTAATTGTTACCCTATCATATTGAGATACAGATAAAATACTAATTTTTTTTTATTGATCTTTGACATAATCTATTAATAACAATGACATTGTCCTCATACGTTAAATGAAGAAAAACTATAACAAATTTCCTAAAACTTTCAAAAATGAATAATAATCCAGAATAATACTAATAAATAATCTACAAAAAGGTCATACAATAACAGTAGAAGGAAAAATGTTAATACAACAATACTATGTTTTCTAAAAAATTCCTACGATTGTCTATATCTGTATGCATCGAAAAATGCTAGCAAACATATAGAAAATTCCATCACAGTTTAACAAAAAAAACAACAACAAATAAATAATTCTAATATAGAAATAATAACTTCTTGTTTGTTAGTAATAAACAGAGAAGAAACGCGTGACAGAGAAAAAAAGCAGTTATTGCACGCAAAGCCTAAACATAGTGGAGTATGCAAAAAAAAAGTATACACTTTTTACACAAATATTTAACATTCTAGCTAGAAATGAGAAAGAAAAGAGGAGAGTAATAGAAACGATCATGCAATACACAAATACTAAATAAGAACAACAGAGAGATCAACAGCATTAAAAAATACAGTGCGAGAAAGATCAATACAATTATGGTTCTTCTTCATAACTAACGAACGATTTTAATCGATATTCGGTAATTGACTCAATAATCCATTCAGGTGCTAAAAATTGAATACCCAATTTTTTTAGTTTCTCATATAGACGTTGTTTTCCAATCAAATAAGAATGTTCACATAGAACAACAATTCGATGATTTGTCGGTGGATGATTTTGTTGTCTAAAATGAGAGAAAATTCAGATAAAAACAGAACAAGATAATCCATCAGAAATATTAACGATATCGCATCAAGGAGATAATAATTCATACCACGTCGAAGAAGGATGCAAAGTATGATATGAATACATAAGTGAGAAGCTCATCATCAAGACAAATACAACAAATAAATATTTCGTTTTATGAAATAATTGACAAGAACTTTCAAATTTGACTACTTACACAGTTGTTACTGCTAATTTTCCTAATATTTGTTTTGTTATTTTTTGTTCAATTTTTCCTCCACATTGTCGAATAATATTTTCTAATTCTAGACGACTCATAATATATTGGCAGCTATTACATTTTAAAATGAACGTAAAATCTTTAAATAATGAATATTTTTCTAAATATAGTCGTGATCGTTTCATTCCATTATGTTCAACCCACGATTCAGATTCATCTCCACGCATCTCAAACGGTTCACAGGTCAGAAGACGTGATTGTTGCAAACATTCTTGAATCCAACGATAACTAACGATATAACAGTGATGAGCAATAGCTTTAATAACTTTAACAGATAATGGACAAATATAAGGTTTATAATTATCACATGTTATTAAATGAGTTGTTGATAATGTCACGTCTTCAGAATATTCCAAGTTAAACATATCCAAAAAACGTTCAACATCGTCCTAAGTATAAAAAGTATAACAATTTTAATAACGATAAACAAAACTAGAAAAATAGTAAGTCAATACATCCACAATTGCCGTTTATATCATAATCAAAAGGTTTAAAAATCTTTATAAAAAGACTTTCCAAAAACACTCTGATTCCGATAACTTTTGAGCGAATGATGTAATCTCAATGACGTCACTTCGTAGAGTAAACGTTTCGGATGATCAAAATGAGATATCGAATAACAACATTTAGAACAAATATTATAAGACTTTTAGTAGAAGTTCTGAATATATACATCTTGGTGCCATGTTTCGTATGAAGTGAGTTTTGTGTTAGCGATGTTTACGTTTGGCAAATTTGTCTACATAAAAGAGCCAAAACAAGACTGATTTTTTTGCTTTTTTAATCGAGCTAAGATATACAGCAATGACATAACAAAGTTCAATTTTTGCTGTCCATTTTTCACTGAGAAACAAGGCTTTCATGAAGACTGAGACGCTCTTTCAGGTTTTTCGAACAACGTACTTTATACGTACTGCTATAAACATAAAAAAAATCTGGCTTTAATTACCTTATTCCCACAGCTGAATATGACAAATTAAAACCAATCGCTTTCCAAGTTTCTAATTAAAAATCAGGTAAAAACCTCATTTTGATCCGTATTGCAGCAATATCACGTGAACGAAGGTAGATGAAGTCAACAAACAAGATCAATATTCTATAAAAGTTTGTTGGTTTCAGATCGAATCTGTAGTTACCGAGATAAATTCCTAACATGGAAGAGCCTTGATTGTTATCATGATACTCTGTAATTTTACAAGATATATCGCCTGTTGGATCTTCACTCGCTTAAATTTTTAATGATCTTAAGCCTGCTCCAGTCATTTGCGAATTACATACCAGTTGTGCATCTTCTAAACATGACGAGCACAAAACAATTGAACGTTTCGCTTGATCTTCTGTTAGAGTAATCTAAAAGTAAAACAGAATATATATATATATATATATATATGTATTCTACTATCAAACGGATAGATAAAACAGATAAAACATACTGAACGACTTTTAGCTTATGTTGACATTATCAAGATTAAGGAAATATTTTGTAAACAGATTAAGATCATGTATTATGTTCAAAACACAAAATGTCTTTTCAACTTACTTGTGAATTTGTCTGTGTATATTCCATAAATAATTGCATTTGTGACTGTTCATTCTTTTTCTCAGGCGGCGTATCAATTTTTGTACTTTCTAAAAAAAAATTAAGCCCATCGTTCCTTTGTGTTTATACTCATCCAGTTACTTACCATCAAACAATGAATTATTATCATCTTCAATAAGATCAACTTGAATTGATACATTGTGATGCTCTTGTGTTGCTAATAAATTATCCTGGTCATGACTACTCGTCTTATGAGCCTAAATTTAAAAAATGTGTACACATATCTTTTAACGAGTAAAGTTTGTTTTTCGTGTGAAAATCGGATGAGTTTTTTGTCCACGTTTTTAAAAATACTTTTTTAATTCGTTAATTAATAATACATACCATCATTTTTGTGGATGATGTAACAATTTTAAACATATACAAGCGCCTTATCCAGTTCACGTCTCTCCACAAAATTAGCTGTTGCCGCCCATCCAAAAAATCTATCCATCCCATCATGAAACGATATTGTGGTATTCTACCAGTATCAAGATATGACATGTAATCGCTTACACATCAACTCGAAGGGTAAACAGCACCGTACCTGAAGTGTTTCCATTCAGAATAGTATAGTCCAGAATGCCATTTGAAGATAAAATTACTCTGTTTCCTTATACAATTTCTCACATTACATCACTGACCGATACAGAAAGAAAATGTTAACAGAAATAACAACAACTCTCGATTCTAAATCAAATACTAAGCCAATGGATACAAATGCCATATCATCACAAAATACAATACTGAAATTGTGGAAAATACAGAATTCAAATCAGAGACTCACGAAATGAAAAGAACAACCATCAATATTCCAGTGTCAAAATAGGAAAAACTTTTTTTACGTAACTCCTGTTTCTTTGTTATCGTATTCAACAAACAGACTATCTGCCGATAGATACTGAGAGTAGACAGTTGGTATGAAGAAAGTAGAGCCTTCATTTCGTTTTTTCACAATAAAAATTCGGAAGTAGAGAAGGAGAAAGGAGAAAAAGACCTGAGAATTTGACAACTCGAAAAACTAAAAACTCAAACATCTGTTTTTTAATGCGTAATTGAAAAGAAATTCTTCCACAATATGACTCATTAATTCTTGTTCTACTCCTAAGATGTAACGTGGGTCAAACAAAAGAATATGAAAACCATCTTTCACATTCGCAATACCATTTCAAAAGTTTTACATCTATTCCTATTCAGGAACGGGGCTGTTTATCCCCCGCCTCCCACAGATAAACGTAGCTCCAATAGTTGCTTCGATTATTGCTTCCATAAGATAATTTTGTTTGTAGTATACTTTTATCGCGTAAGTAACATAATTATTCTGATTTTAAATATTCAACGGCTAATATTAGAATAAACGATCAAGATAGCTTTCCTATACATTCTACTAGCAATTCTGGATCGTTATTTCTACGGATCGCCTTATGTATAATGAACTTCAGTTAGCCCTATATTTCCCCTTTGTCTAGCTAAATTTCAATATCTGGATTATAATATCCACACATTCTATACAGCCACCCACAACCACTTAGATGAGTTCCTCTTGTCCACCATCTAGATAGGTTGTGTAGTGTTCTGATCAGCATTCATGCAAAAACGAAGACAAGAGCCTAGAAGTTATCTTTGTCTATTATCTCTTGCTTCTATCTACTAGTATCACATTGGTTAGATGTGCCTGCTGAATTGTAGAGAGAAATCGATAACAGAAAGAACGCCTTAGTGTTTCATAACGGAGATTTCAATACTCATAACATCGTCACTAATTAAGCCAACTGAATAAACAGTACTCATGTTTCCTTTTCACTAAAAATGGCACATTACTCAACCGAAATATAGAATCCTGTTCAACACTGTAAAACATAAACATACTCTTAGAATGGTGGCATTTTTAAAAATTTCTTGACATACATCACAATGAAAAGTTTTTGGTTTCGTTGTTTTGAGCTGCTGTTGAATCATTAATGTTGGAAAATTTCGACCATGAGCATTCATCAAATGTTTCTGAAATAGACAAGAAAAAGAATAAAATATGCTATTATAAAACTCTGTCCCAACTCTGTGCCAAAGCTGACTAGTACTTCATATACGGTTTGAAAAACTGTAAAACTGAACGTTTGATGAAATGATGCTCAATTACGCATGCTTCATTTTTATATAAAACTAGAGAATAAAACTAATGTTACTCAGCAACAGAACTCTGCTTATGCTTAGTCTTCTGACCACAACTGTAGTTGATAACTAGTAATGATATGATCGACCATATCAGAACTTTGTCAACTTCAAGAAAGATATTGGACTATTATAACTCACACTGGTTAATACCCTACACCAGAAACGATAGTCGCCAGACGAAATGCTCTTGCTTTTCTTAAACTCGTCGATAAGTTTGCAATGATTAAGCTTTATTTTTTCAAGAATAAGTACCTTGATAAAGACAAAGTTACGCACCTTTAGGTAATTTTCAGTTGTATAACATTTTGTGCACACATCACATCGATGTATTCTATGACGAGTCAGACCATCTTCATAATGGACTAGCGGCGTACGCATAGCTACAAGAAAAAAAAACACACAAGATATTAAAATGTAGTTTTTGGACTGTAGAATGCAATTTATTTACGTGGAGGTAATAATGATGTATTTTTCACTGGTGTTTCTTTCTGAACAGCAGTAGACGTTTCTGAAATCAAAAGAATATTTCTGTAGTTTTGCTTTGCTCATTTCATTCATGCTTACCCTTAAAGGAAGATGACTTCAATAGTGTCGAATCATTATTCATATTTTTCTTTTCCCTTGTTTGTTTCCTGAGTGAAATTCCTGAACATTTTTCCTTAATAGACGATGGTAAATTACACTTCGAAGGTTTCGCAGATGGCTAGAGTGAATCAGAACAACAAGAAGTAGTTTATATTGTCCAGAGAAATGTAAAACAATAAAATCAGCGATAAATGAAAAAGTTTAGAGTTTTAATATGAAAAAAAAACTAGCATGTAGTCGATATTTTGCACAAGCTGTTTATTACACGTTCTTTTAATCAAAAAGTAATTAATCAAATCAATGTATTTTCTGTTGTCTAATCAATTTGTTCTTTTCTTTGTTGACTCTACCGTGAGCTATCGAAACTGTTCAAAACATATTGGACAGTAATATCTATCAATAACAAAGACTAACGACTTTTTCAGGCGAGTTTAATTACATACAACATTACTAATAATTTACGAACATTTATTTTTGTTGTTATCAATTTTTTTGATGACGATATTAATATTGGTAGATTCGACGATACATCAGCAGTTTTATCAACTAAACAGACACAACAACAAACGATATTATATATGATTGAACAATTCTCACATAACTTCACATCATTTTATACTAAAGATTCTTCCGAATGTTAATATTCGAAAAATTTGCTTATAGCAGCACAAATACTTCATTATCTTTAAGAAAGTTTTGAGTATACTTACCACTTAGTTTTGTAGCGCATTTATAACTTTTCTTCTCATTGAAGTTTTTTTCACCCTCTTCATCACAGGTAGTAGCTAAATGTGATAAAGATAGTCAACAAATTCTTTAAATAAAATTTTTTGTCTCTTACCCGGTACGACTGTTGGCTGAACGCTTTTTCGTCTTCCAATAAAAGGAAGAATATTTGCTACATCTATCGAAAAGGAGCATTCGTTGAATCGTGATCTTGGAACCTGAATATCTAAAGTAAAAGGAAAAATAAATGTTTAACCAAAAAAATAGAATAGTTTGAAAATTTTAAAGAAGTGCAAAGTGTATTAAAACTGAGTCTTCAATTAGAAAGATAATTAGACACCTAATACAACGATAGTAAATTTATGAGATTTGCCGTCGTTGTAATCGATGCGTAAAATGTAGTATATTATCAAAGATTATCTGATTTATTTGTTTAGTAAACTGCTATATCATTTGTTATCAATACTGTCTAATTTTTTTATCTCAGCTTTTTAAATTTGATTTAAGTTTCATATTGCAGAGAAAAACACAGACGGTTAGACTTAACACACACATACCATGTTCACTTTCAGTTTCATTTCTATCGTCTATAACTTCAATTTTTTGTTGCTTCTTCTTTTTTAATTCTTGTTTTCGTTTTTTTATTTGTTTTTGTCGAAAATATTGAATATATTTAGCAGCTTGTGATTGTCGAGCTATTAAAGCATGTTTCATGGATAACATTTTTCGATGAAAATGACGGCGCCGATTTAAACGTTTTGTTCGTGACACTGAAAATAAAATACACATCATGCTAAGTTAATTTAAAAATTTAAAAGAAAAAAAAATTGATAATTAGTACATGGACAAGTCATTTTTAATAAAATATAGACACAATTTTATATTTGTAAAGATGATTGAAACGAACCTCTATTTTTTGAACATAATGATAATGACGTCACTGGTGAAGATGGAGGCGTGGCTAAGGATGTCTCAGAAGCGATAATAATTTGTTGTTTAAATAGATTTTCGATCTGAACGGCAATATTTTCTTTGCCATTTCCTCTGGTCGAACGTCGAACGTATGTCGTTGTCATCAAACTTTTATTCAACTTTTTTGATGACTTTTTGCCCATATTGGTTGAACAAAAAAAGGGTATATGGTCACTCATATTTGATCTTTATGAAAGTGATAATCTGAAACAGAAAAAGAAACAAAAATAACTGACTGTATTCTAGGATTGACAGGATAAATTATACTGATAGATTTCTAAAACAATTTTATAACTTTATATATGTAAATTATATAAATAAACAGATTGTACAACATATGATGATATTTTGTGCATGATGTATAGAAAACAGGGTATTGTTTTATTAGTATGTATAAATAACTCTTAAACTCAAGTCTTCATTTTGATTTAAATTTGTTAACTGCACGAAACGTAATCGTAAGTTAAGCATTGACTGAAGACACATTTAGAGTTCTTTTAAGTCAATGCTATAAAACGACACATCACAATAAACTAAGCGTTGACTGAAGTTTTCGTATAGATTTCTTGTATTTGCGAAAAGACTCCTAGAACACCGTGTGATGAAACAGATAAGAGTATCGCATTCAGCTGATGATCCATACTAAATAATTTAAAAGTTTTTGTTTTCTCCAGTAAAAGAAAAAAACCATGTTTTCATACTACTTCTATGACGGTTTTGAAATCATTAATCTCTTGAGACAAGGCATAAGTTGAAATTTTTATTTCTCACATTCCTGAGAGCATAAGAGAGAGAGAGGGAGAGAGAGAGAGATAATATATCCACACATATTCATAAACATTTAATATTCGAGCTTCTCTGTAATAGATATGGATATAGACACTCGATATGTAAAAAATAGAGGAAAACATATAATTCGCTTCAACGATGTAATAATATTATACTCTTAAAGCAATAATTACAAAGCAATAATTTTTCTTCTTGTCCTTGAAAAAAAACACTTCAGACGCGGATAAAAAAGAATTCAACTAGTTTTTCATTAGTTCCAAAGCATTTAATATTATGAAAGATTTTTTTATTCAGTTTCCGTCACGTAACAGTTTTCTGTAAGAATATTAATAATAAACACTCTGATACTTCCGGTGTTTTATAAAATAGCATATCGAGGCGTTTGGACGTTTCATATTTATTCAGTTTTTCCATTTTCACGTACGACAAATTTTCAAAAGAATATTATCTAGTTACTCGTTCATGGTTTTTACAACTTTTCGATGCATGGTGCACAAAAACTGATGACAAATGTGTATACAATTTTTAAGGTCGACGAATTTCTTCGACATCTGATGTGGTTTTCATAGAAAAGGCAAACTTGATTAGAAAAAAATAGTATTACGCAAGTGTTCATAAAGTAAAGTTTTCTAAAAACACACCAAAAATAAACTGCAATTCATTTAGTATTTATATAGAAGTCATTGAAATAAAAGATTATTTATATTCAGAAATAACTTCCAATCTTACTAGAAAAGTATTATTTTACACAAAATAAATCTGCTCTGTATTAGAGAAAAGTGACAGTTGGTCTTTTAACGTTTAATACTGATATTTGTTATTTTTTGGCAAGATAAGGGTATGCATACTAACACACACACACACACACATAAGTAATAATCGTAGACAGGTATCAGATCGTCGTTTTATAAGGAACTGAATAAAAGTAATACAACTAGTTTTGAAACATGCATAAAATTCAGCACAATATCAACAAATACAAATTGAGAAAAAAAAATGCTTAAAGAAAATAAAACTGGAAGATGCTATTATAGTTAGGTAATGCATGTAGCAAAATTACAACGCGTAGAAAAACTAGAAGAAAAAAGGCGTTGTTTTTTCATAGCTCTCCATATAGGACAGGCAGAACAAAAAATGAGAGTTGTGTTACATTTGAATAGTTCATGTTTGACTAACGAGAATTTACTTTGTAAAAGAGAAAAATATACTTGTGCAAAATTTAGATAAAGTTGAAACAAGTCTAAACTCGTCTATGTATAAAAACTTCACATTTTTTCCTTAAAGCAAATTGTATGCATCTTACATCATACAGTCATGAACCCAAATGCAATGTTAAAAACTTTCAAAAAAACTATAACTCGAAGAAAAGACAATAGAAAAGTAGTATAGTGTCTCACATTCGGGTAATAAATTATACAAAAATTAGAAAACAAAAGTTGACAACAAAAAGTAATAAAATGAGGCAAGAATGAAAAACATATAACTTACATTATCGACTAGAAATAGAGATAAGTCACGTAAAAAACTTACAAAGGAAAGCTGTGATCTGTAATTAATGTTACTTTTCTATTGTTTTTTGCTGGCCGATATTGAGGGCGCATCATCTGCTGTTGTTGAAACATTCAAGTTAGATAACACATCAGTGGTAAATGGTGAACTTGATGTATTATTGAAGGATCTTCCAGATGGTCGAAATTCAGCAGCTTCAGGATTTAGATATACAATCTAGAAAAGAAAAGAAATCGTTGTCGAAATAATATACAAATCAGGTATAGGGTAGGAAAGTTGATCTAAATTTTATTCTTTCAAAATATAAGCTTTAGTATTCTTAAACAAACTATAGAAAACACAAAATCAATTTTGAACTAATAAAGACTCAAACATACGAGCGTACTTTTGCATTAAAAGTAAATTCACTGTTTTTAGTCTATATGCTACACTATGATTAAAGGTGCGGAAGTGACTTGACGTTATTAATGTTAATTTTTCTTTAATTTTATAGAAAAAGTATGCTGAAGCCATTTTTGTTGATTTAAGCTTTAACCTTGAATCAGAATGACATCGAAAACATAAATTCTCATTATATTATTCTGGAATTTAAATTATCAAAAAACAAAATCAATCCTTGTACAAAGCTAGGATCGAACACACGGACTTGATCTTTGCAGATGAATTGCAAAAAACAACTTCGCTGCTCTTTCCTATATTCTGTGTAATGATTGAATTTGAAGGTCTACTATTGATAAAATAGACTAGAATTTTTGGGATGATACTTTCAAATTTCGCACTGACCTTTAATAATGTTGCGTACTTACATGTGCATTACTGGGATATGATGTAGTTGGATTGTTTTGAAACTGAATACATTCGTTCATCATATTCAGAGTGTCTTCTTGCTAGAGAAATAATAACATCAGAGAAATTAGCTGTTATATCTGACGTACTATAAAAAGCAGATAAAACAAAGTATATAATAATAATTTACAGCCACATTAGAAGATTCTCCTCGACCTCTTCATATAATAGTTGAAATAGGAGACTCCCTGTTTCTAAGATTTTTACAGAAAAAAGCGTCAGTTATATCGCTAACAAAACGATATTAACGGGGAAAATCCTTTTTTGGGACACAATACAAGACCCCTCTAAAATCTCTAAAACTCAGAACAGATTAGAAGACTCGGGTCTTTTACTGTGAGAATCTCTTTAATTTTTATCGATTTTCAGAATGGTCGACAACCTATTGTTCCATCCATTTCTGAGACTGCCAAAAAGTCAAGTTGGTCAGGGAAACCAATCACGGGCTCTCCGAATCTCAAAGTTTCATTTGATATATGACAATACTGATTCGTTCGTTCTTCATCATTTTTAGAGTCTCTTGACTGTTCCCATTAGTCTATCTATGATATACCACTTATATAATGTGCTCAACAACGCAATATAGCGCCAGTTAGTCCAAGTGGACTGGCGCACCACCGACCATGGAGAATGTATAACAAACGCTTTCGGACGTGAACATTTAATTTTTAACATGCTGTTTCCACTTTGTCTCAAATTTGTGATAGCTTGCCACTCCAGTGATCCTTTTCAAATGAAAGTCATAAATTTGAATAGTGTAACAGCTGTTCTGTACATCACACTGAAGTTTAATTAGATATTTGTTTTTCAAAGAAAAAATTAGGCAGAAAGATTCTCTCATTTTGCAAATTTGGATTCGCATATGTGCGAGAATATAGTTTTGGAAATAGATAGTATTTGACCTCGACTGCTTATGCTGTAAGTATGAGCTTTTGATCTGCTTGCTAAACCGCGATATGACGCCTACAAAATACAAATTTCTCTAGGTGTCGTTTTTAGAATTTTTATGAGAATGTTATAACTTCGAAAGGAAGCACTGTCCGATCAAGAAATTTTGCGAATCTTCTAGATATGTTGCTCGTACACACAAAAATTCTGAATAAAAAAATTCAGACATCGACTCAGCAGTGTAAGTTGTGCTTTTCATGTCTCAACGAAAGTCATGAACTTGAACTGTATCAAAAAAAGAGCAGAGAAACGCTTCTCCTTTGTTCCTCAAGGTTGTAACTTCACTATTCTATCTCAAGAATGTTACCCTAAATATTTTCTTAGTAAAACACATCATGAGAAAAAATAATGCAAGCACCCTAATAACACAACAAGCAAAAGAAAGACAAATTGTATACCTCTCGTTCATATCGACTGTACGCATCGTCAATGTCTTCATTATAAATATCATCTTCATTGTCCATATCTCCATCATCTTGATTTCTATCTTCTTCATCAACTTCATCCTCAGTTCTATTTAAGTAATAATAGAGAAAATCATTCTCAAGAAAAGTAGGAGAAAAAAGTCCAGATCACTAAATCATGAAAATAATTGCTTTTTGGATGTGATTGTGAAAATAATAGGTCCATCTTTTACAATATTTACAGAATACTATGATTGAAAAAAGGTGGCACAAACTGACAATCGTTGGCTCTTAGTATACAGAGAGAATACAGCTTATTTCTTTCCAGAAGACGACGTGAAAAAAGTGAGGACAGATTGAAGACGAGGATTTACTTCTCAAAAAGCATCCACAAACGAACAGTTAAAAGAAGGCCGTACTGTTGTTCTTACGAATTAGATGTATTATTTGATGGTGTATTTTGATTAGGTAATTTTGTATGTGGTAGTACTTGGGATGGTTTTTGATTAGGTTGATAATAAGAATTGTTATTTGTTGCTCTAAAAGTGAAATAACCGATTTGAATCATCAATATTTATCAGTAGAAACTTACAAAGGAGTTTGAGTTGTTGATGCATGTGATTGAGTGGTATCGATTATTTGATAATCATTATATTGAACGTTTTTTGAGGCTTGCTGTTGTGGAGAATTTGTTTCACTAAGCGACAAAAAATATCTTCAAAGAAACAATCTCGGTCAAACGGTACTCATGATATTGATATTAGTTGATATACAGCGTTTTCGTAGCATTTTCCTTCTAATTACACGCACCAATTTCTTATCCCTTTCTGCTAAGCAACAGAATTACCTACACTCGGTAGTATCTTAAAATATTTGATTTAACAGTAGAAACACAAGCATAATGAACTAAAAAAACAACAACTAGAAAAATCATTCAGTATCAGTTTATCGTAAAGACATACGCGTACATCATGTTTGTTCAACTTACATATTGTATTGATTATTGTTTTGATAGGAGTAATTATCATTCGGATTGTAATTTAAATCACTCGTGTGGTTGCTATTCTGATTCGACGACATTTTTCCAGATAAAAACAATTCACAATACGATTTTAAATATTAAACTGAATTTTGACGTTCAATCTGCGATACAAAATAGTCTGTTTAAATGTAGAAGTATCAAAAAAGAAAACAAATAAAACATCACAGTAGTTTTTTTATTGAAGAAGCAATAACAGTCTCAGTAGCCAAAAAAGAGTTTGGATAAGTAGAATTTCTATAAAACTAGCACACATTTTTGGGACTATGAAAAATGCTACTAATTCCTTTGAGTGAAAATTAAAATAACTATATGTAGTATCTAGTAGTTTTCAGAAAAGTAAGAAATGTTATATAGTCTAATGACAGAAAAATGTGTTTTTATTTCGTGCACTTTTTCATTATCTCGGAAGTAAAGATTTATTAACTGAAAGAGTTTTGTATGTAAACAAGAATTATATTAGTATTCATTTTTTCGATCTGTAATAATTAACACTCAACATCGCAGAGTTGTCAGAATTTAGAATAGTGAATATTTCTGCAGAATGGCTGTTAATAGTCCCAAAACTAGCAGGAAAAAGATGCCAGCAAAAACATTATTGACCGTCTCAAAATTCACGCACACATTGTGCAGTGGTGTGCTCGAAACTTGCGCAGTTTAAATACATAGTCTACGTGTTCTTACACTGCAACACGACGAGAAAGTAAATAACGTGTTTAAACTACAAAAGTATCCCACACCCAATGTGCAAACGTATCCTAATACGGCCAAAAACCTTTCTGATAGGAACTGCTAATAACTCCTTGCTGCCAGCGTTGAGACTATCAATACAGCTTTTCGTTTTTCAATGACAATAACAGATCGGAAAAGGCAGCGTGGTTTCTAACTATGAAAAGAATCAGACGAATTTATTCCTTTATAAGCGCTTTATATTGTTCTAGAACTACCATGTTGATCTAACGGCCATTGTAAAAAATGTTTCCATTTGTGCATTCTTAGGCTTTCGATCTAATTTTGGCAGTCATACATCATGTGCATATGAACGGAAATGTTTTTGTGTGGAACAAATGCTGTTTCTGTGGACGAATAAAAAAACACGTCGCTTTTAACGATGTCGCCATGACAGAGAACAAAATAAGTTTAAAGAGAATAGAGATTAACCAAAATTTTTTGAAGGATTATTGATAAAAGTCTTGACTCACATTTTAGAACACCAGCAACTATCCATCTCAGAGAGAATTAAGGCTCGCTGTGAGAAAAGACGAGATTAAAGTTTCGAGTCCGAAAAGTTGTTTCCGAGAGTTGTTTCAAAAAAAGTAGGTATTTCGCTATTTCTATTGCTCAAAAATTCAGAGTGGTCTCAAAATGTAGCCAAGACTTGAAGATACAACTTAAGAGAACTGGATTTTTCAAAAGTTTTATTTACTATTCTCAAAGCTTTTTATGAAAAAAGTTGCAAAAGTTTCAGCTAATTTTTCAGAGAGCTTCATTTTTCAAAAACTAGATTGAGAAATCAAAAACCCAATCCTATAAAGTTGTAGCATCACGTCTTGGCTACATTTTGAGACTACTCTGAGCTTTTGAGCATTTAAAATAGTGAAGAAATTTTGCAGCACGAATAGTTAAAGCTCAAACGATTTCCATGAAAACGCCGTGCATGTGTTAATGCACTTTAGATGTAGGAAAGACTTGTAACTATTAGTGATTTCTGCTTTATTTAAATATTAATGCCCTAATAAGGCCTTTTAATACACCAAGAGACTTGTAACTATTTAACAGGCATCACACAGAGTTGTGCTACGTCTGATTTTTACCAGATAAGGCTACACTATAAATCTATCTGTTTAGAAAATAACTCCATTGCATAATTATAGAATTCGAATATTTTATTGTTCGAGATTTTCAAAAAACCTGCTTTTCAACCATGAAAATTTATCTGTGGAGCAGAAAGCGATATAGAATCTAAAAGTAAACACTTTGGGCTATCCAACCAGGTATAAATCTCAAAATCAACTTTTCGAACAAGAAGGGAGCCCTTAATAGAGAGAAAAGTATTTTCAGCCATTTTAAGTTGTAAAATACCGTGACTATTGTGTACGAATGCGAACAAATATGTCGACTTTCATCCGAGAAAGTTTTCAAATACACGTTGTGAAGATATTGTGAAACGTTTATTCTAAAAATGGATTTTCAGTGACAGATCCATGTGGAAAAGGCAAAGCAGCAGTCTGGATTCTTCAAGGACACTGTAAAATCATCTTACAACATCTTTGAATTCACTAAAATCGTAAAAAGAGAAAAAAATCTTTGACCATGTGAAGAGAAAATGACATGATCTTACTGCTTATGAAACTGAGAATCCGACCGTTCATGTCGTTACTCTTCTCATCGAGCTTCATCTTATCGCAAGTTATAAGCAAAAGATTTGAAGAATATATTCAGATCTGCTTCATACTATTAATACTTATTGTGGGCACAAAATCAAATTTTGAAAATAAAATCTTGTCTACACTAACGAGGACTTTATTCATTGTAAAATTAATGTGCAAGAAAATTGTTCTAATTGTCTTTTTCAGTTACTCGTGGTTTATGAATGAACTTGTTTTTTCTGCAAAGAATCTTTCAAACTTTATTTTCATATATTTAAATTGCAAAAATCGTAAAAAGAGAAAAAAAAATTTCTCCACAAAATTTATGTCTTTTTTATCTTCTCCTGCCAATAATCTTATTTTTAATGAACATTAAAGATTTTTATAAATCTCCTCTCATATCAATTTTGTTTATGTATTTCAAAGAACTCGTGGTGAATCAGAACGTTTGTTCCATTTAAGGGAATTTTTCAGCGTTAGAAATATCACTTGTTGTCATGATTAAACACCGACTCAGTCTTTTCTTTTATTTAAGAATGCATTTTTTTCCTCATCAGTAACGTGCCTATCTCAATAACACATCAATTTCCTACGCGTATTGCAGTCCATCCACGCGTAAAAATAATATATTAAAACTTGTTTGTGCTTTCACTGTTTTTGGTAAGTAGTTTTTTTTTCATCGATTGGCAACTATCTATAATATTCATCTCATGGTTGATCGATAATGTGTACCTATCCAATTTTTAACCTATTCGGACGGATATGTACCACATTCAAGCGATAGAAGGAAGAAACAGCACCTACTCTGATATTTTTACCCATAAAAAAATTAATAGTCATATTTCATAACACGCCTCTATCATTTTTTTCTTAAGGTCTCCGATGCATTTTTTTTCATTCGATAATTGCCTATAGGAGAGCGCAAAAGAGAGATTCGTTAAATATTCAAGTAGATAGTTTGGTCTCATTGAAGGTGATAAGTGATGAAAACTATTGGCGTCACACACGCGCGCGTTCACCTGGTCTATACCTTTAATTTTGCTAAAAACTGAGAGGTCCTGTAATCGTTATTTTTTTTTTTATTGAAAGACACAATTTCATCAGGAGATTTTTTTCTTTTCTCTTTTTTTGTAAAAAAAATATAAGCATTTTTTCATTTGAGAAGTGACCATCTACAATAAAAGCTGTAGGTCCGTATTTTCTCTCAAGGCAGGTATCAAATCCTGTTGGCTAACAAAATATCATACTCGTTCTTACAAAAACAAATATTTTATAAGTTTTCTTAATTTACTTTTCAGTTTAATCTCTAAAACAGCACAATGTCACTTCCACGAGGTCCATACACCGGTGTAGGTTATCGTCCACCATATGCAGCTGTGTAAGTATAGAAACTGTACATTATTAATTATCAGAATACTGAACAATAGAAGATAAAGGTTTTAACAAAACATAGCTGCTTTTTCTCTCATGATTAGTTGAAGTATTATTAACTCGGAGAAGAACCAATAAAAACAGTCTGTTAAACTTATTTCATTGAAATAAGTGATGTTCTCTAAGTTAACTTAATCATCATTGTTTAAATGGCCTTGAGAAGTTATTTAAATTTTCAGTATATTTTAATGGAATAACTACATAGATTTGTTTATATTAAAAGCTCATTATAGTTCTAATAACATTGAATTATGAGTTAATATCAATTTTTTTTATTCTTAGACGAAGACCTCCGACATTTTATGGACGACCACCCTATGCTGTTCGTCCTATTGGACCAGCACCAGGCGGAGCAGGTGCCGGTACAGGAGCTATAGCTGGTGTTATTGGTGGCCTTGCGGCACCATTATTATGCTTAGGATGTTTATCATCATTAGCATTATTAGGTTTATTTGCCACAATGATTGCTGCAGCAACCTATATGAGTAAGTAACTTTTTCCATTTAAAACATAAAACTAATCTACTATTCATATTTTCTTATTTTTCTAGATAAAATTCAAAAAGAATTTCGAAGGGGTGTAACTGGTGCCGGTAGTCTAATAGAAGTTAATATTCTTTTCTTATTGTGTACACTCGTATGTTCAGTATTTATTATCATGAAAAATAGTCGAGCAAGTTCATAAACAGAAACACATAGACGTACAATCGTGGATAACTGAATATATCGTGCGGTGGGTTTTATTTTCCGTCTGTTGTTTTTTGTTTTTGTTAAATTAAACTTCTTCGTCTTTATTTTCTTTACTCTTTCGTAACACAACAGTGATTTTTTTTCATATATTACACAAAGATATCTCGTAACTGACTATAATTGATTGAATTTATCTATTTACAAAATGTACACCTAAAACAGAGGCTTAATATTCCATCAAAACAGGTACAAATAACATCTACTAAGTATATATATTTGTAATATGTAAAACTCAACAATTATAGTCATTTTATTTTTATGTGTGTATTTTAACAGGTACAAGACGTCGTCGATTGTCCTCTTTTTTTTTTTTCGAAACCAGTATACCTATGTGCAAAGTTATTCAATTTTTTATTCATTTATATATATTATAAATTTTTTGAAGAATTAAAATCAGACACTGGGAGAAATAAAAGTGTATTTAATGAATATATATATATATATATGTATCCTTAAAAGTAGAAAGTTAGCAAATTGGATTTGTATATTGACCTTGAAAGTATTTTAATGACACTTATACCGTTATGTATGATCAACAGATAGTACTAATGAATATTGTTGTACAATTTAGATGATGATGCATATAGGAGTAAGGTAAATTAGTCTATCATATTTCTTTCATGTCATTATCTACATATTCTGTAAGTTTTATTAAAATTGATTGTTTAATGAATAAAATTGCTCGAAAGATTAAGATTCCTTTAAAAATAATTAACTTATTTTTAATATTCCTTTATCAAAACTCATTATTAATTATGAGAACGACTCTAACAATTGACTTAAAATCAGTTTCAACAAGTTTATATGAATGTTTTGTACAGTTTTTCACCCCGTCATTGTTATGAGACAGAGGCTCGTTTTTCGTCATCGATTCAATGACTACTTGACTATTCACTGCTGATACGTTTTTAAATTTTTAAAATGACGAAAACAATAGTACCTATAGGAAAAAACTAACACTTTACAGAAAAACGTATAGGAAAGAATTATTTTGCCATCTTTGTTATCATTACCCTCGTATAGTTTTGTATTTTTTATTTCGACAAAAAAATAGTGTCAAAATGTGAGGCCGCAGGGAAACTCTTATAACTAAATTACAATTATAGACTGCTTCCATTTTAATTTTTATTGCATTTTATTATGCTCGTTTACTGTGCTGTGATAAAATTCTGTAGTCATTTTTCAATATAAAAATTGCAATATGAAAAAACATGAGTAAAACTGCTTTTGTCTTTGCCTGAGTGACTTCTATATATGTAGATAGGTAGGAAGAAGAACATAACTAGTAGAAAATAAAACACTTCATTTATATTTTCATTAATATCGAAAAAAATGATGATTGGCCTATGATGATCATGTTTCTTTTTCTATTCTGTGTTCGAGGCGGAGAATCTATCAGGTTTTTCGGTATTAAATATTACCAGTAAGGAAGAGTTACAGACCTTTCGAGCATGACGCTGTACATTTTGATAGGTTTCTCCTTCAAATAATCCATAAGTGATTGAGAGAAAACTTCTCCCAAAAAAGAAAATACCGAGAGAAAGAACGGACTATCACTTTTTTTCTACTAATAAGAATAATAAGAGAACGGTAGAAACCTGAATATACACATACGTAGACTACTCTCTACCAATTGGTGTTGTCCACTTTCTTTGTTGTTCTTGAACATACACGCTAAAAAGTAGCAGGTTAGTAATACAAATAAATAAACAACAACAAGAAAATCAAATTGAACCAAGAGTTAAAGATATTCAATTTCTTTATTTTAGATATATAATGCGTCCAACTTATGGACCGAGACCTATCTACGGTGCACCGAGACCTATCTACGGGTAAAATATCACTGACTATTTTCTTGTATCCTTTTAATCTATTAAACACTATTTTTTAGAACTCCTTTACCACCACCGGCTCGTGGAGGTGGAGGTGCAGGTGGTGCTGGTGCATTGGGAGGGGTTTTAGGCGGTTTAGGTGGTGCTGTAACATGTTTATGCTGTTTATCAGCATTGGGTTTAATTGGACTTTGGGCTACATTTATTCCATTTGTTGCTTACTTCAGTAAGTTATTGACATGTTGACCTTGTATATATTTTAATTAATTTTAAATTTTTACATTTTAAGAATATGCCTATGATCAATGGACACGTACATATGGTGTTAGTTCAGCAACAAATTTTGGAATCCAACAAGTCGTACTTTTAGTCAGTTTATGTTTTGTCGCAACATCATTTCTAAAACGGAGAATACCAACGTGAGGAATACACTAACTATATTGAGAAGTCGAATTATAATATCAGTTACGTTGAGACTATAATATGGCATTCACACACCAAAAGTTGTCCAACTAATCCAGGGATTATAAAAGCGCGTCGTCGATCGGTTTTTTTCTTGTTTTTTACTTATCATTCTTTATTAAATGTGATTCTGCGATTATATATATATATATATATCTGTTAATTGAAACACACATATTAAATTTGAAGCGTCGTATATCACACTGGTGATATTTTTTTTTTTAACTTTTATTTGTTGTCTTATATACACACACATACACACACATATATATAGATATATATATATATATAATCTAAAATTGACATCGAAATACATACACCACGTACTATCAATAGTCCCTCATATATAAAAGGATAACCGCTTAATGTTGAACAAGTCCTAAATCTGAACTATGGTCATTCTATTAAAGTACAATTTGACCTGTATATTGTTCAGAACACTCATCACTTTGGCTATGAGCGAGTCTTCATCAGATCATTTTTGGAGCTTTGATAATGTGGAAATATAGCATTTCGACTAGTGTCCACTGATGTGAAAAAAATTCGCACAAAATAAGGGCTTCAGACAATATATACATGCCATCGACAAAATCCACTCATTTACATGTCGTAGACGTTCGAAAAGTAATCATGTATGCACCGAAAATGGAGTGTACATGTTTCAGAGAAAGCATAAGACTATTCATTTAGTAATTAATGTGAATACAGTTAATGAATTTCTTTTATCTTATCACTAAAAATCTTTAAGGTTTGAAAAAAATTTTTTTAGCAATCGAATATCATTTTGCTAAAAACATAATAATAGCGCTGCTATGCGTTTTCTTTCAGTTCATCAAAAAAGTTTTTCAGATAAATTCCATTAAAAATGTTCTCATCTGAGGTAGAATAAATGTTTATTAGAAACATTCTTTCAAAATTTGTCTACAACGATATACTGCTGGTAAAGGAACATTGGTAAGTAATTCAGTCCGATTCAGCTGATATTTTTGGAGATCGGTGAGGCTCATGCTGATAAGAAATAGCCTTGAAGTGTTTTGGTTCCCACATTGCTTACTCTTTCATGAGTTATTTGCTAATTGGTCGATATTCACCAAAATCAAGTACTTGATAACTCGCGCGTTTGCACTACTAAACATTTGAATTCTTTAGGCAACAGATTAGAGTTAATTATGCTCAAAGCACATGATCATATCTTATTTGGTTCGTAAGAAATGAATTCTTTAGTTTTAGACCAGTTATGCGCACGACATACAAAAGACGAGAATATATGAACGACATTTGTTTTTTTTTCAAAAATCTTCATGTGAGAAATCCGTAACGACACCTCATTCATTTGCTCTTGGTATACCATGTATGGTAAGGAACTACCTATCTCACCCAAATCGAAAAGAAATGATTCATTAAGTGCAGTCAATCAGTCGATTTAACGTGAGCTTAATCCCGATGTTTGCTAGTACTTTTAGCAAAATCCAGTTCGCCAAAATCGCGCTTAATCGAAATTTATCGGTATTTTCTCAAAATTACGATTATTCAGAAAAAAAATTCTTAAAAATTAGGATCAAGCGCACGCTTAATCGGCCATTTCTTTTCGATTTTGACCGTTGTTTTAACCATTTTTTTCGTTAAAAAACATTTTGAATTAATAATTCATACATTCTCATCAGCTGTTCTCGTCCTTCATGTGTTGTGCGTCATCGTTTCGGTTACTCTTGTTTCATAATTATTTTTAAAACTACGGTTGTCTCGATTAAGTGCAAGATCAGAATTAGTCTTGAAACTAATTTTACTTCCTTTCATTCAACTTCTTCACTTCACTCCAAACAAAAAAAGATTTACTTAGATGGTTCATAACTGGCCTAAAACTAAGAATTCATTTCTTGCGAACCAAATAAGATGTGATCATGTGCTTTGGGCATAATTAACTCTAATCTATTGTCTAAAAAATTCAAATGTTTAGTTTGTCAAACGCATGAGTTTTGAGGTAGTTGATTTGGGTGAATGTCGACCAATTAGCAAATAATTCATGAAAGAGTAAGCAATGTGCGAACTAAAACATTTACAACACCAATAAAAAATCCCGTGTTAAGGCGCTACGATTATTAGAAAACACGTACGCATTGTATTTTCAAACTGTGTGAGACATATTTTGACATCTTATTCAACGCTATACTCGTCATCTGTACGTTTTCACACTGTCAGCTATGAAGTCGCCACATTTCTAGCTAAGGTGCCTTCATTAGACAGTTCATGGACGGGGAGAAGTTGCTAGTCACTAGGTTTTCCTTCAGTCAGTGCTTCGATTTTATCTTTTGAACTGACGAGGGAACCTCACCAACTGATACCCTCCGGGTGAGCTCATACTTTGCTCATAGGTAGGACTCATAGTGTAGATAAAAACTCTAAAAGGATTCATCCCCTTGACTCTTGAAGACCTGGTTTTCTGG